GTCACTGTGCTCGGTCCCTAATGATGGCTCAATTCCATTCAGCTGGCTCATTGTTAATGTTATTAGTAACACCTGTGCTTTTCCTACTATGGCATGTCAGCTCAGTAGTCATTAGATAAGACAGATTTTACTCATATGTGAGCTTAAGTCTAAATTGCACCATAATTATTAGAGATAGTTTAAATTAGCATGACTAAAACATTCTGAATTTGCATTATTATTACCAGTATTTCTAATTATTCTAATTGGTGGTAACTGCTAAAAACAATGGATGGCTAGACTGTGAAATCATCCATCATCTTTTTTATCTGAATTTACAAACCATCTTTATGTAATTATATAATGGGCGTTGCCTTGTCTGTGTTATTAAGCTATACACAAGGATCACATAAAAGACAACTATAGACTTTATGACTATGACACCTATATATTAAAACTCTGGTGATAAAGGTGCGATATCTTTCAACAACAGCTTGAAAGATATAAAACGCTAATGCATTCAACATAATTCAATTCCTACTTTGTCTTCTACATTGTTCTCCTCTCAGGAACTATGGTGGCGTATATGTAGGTCTACCAGCAGACCTGACCACTGTGGCTGCTAGTCAGTCCAAGTCCACACATAAAGGTAAACAATTATAACACTGTACGATATGTCCCATATTCTGGAAAATGAGCATCTCGCCATAGAAAATTAAGGACACTGTTGGCATGTTAGAGCTATATTAAGATGGTTCCTCTGACTTTGATGAGCATCTTGTAAGGAAGTAGCTCAGGGCGTACGAGAGAAATAATCCCTACTAGCCAAGCCACCACCCCATCAAACCACATGCTTGCCTGCAACATTTGCGGTTTTATTTGACCTTTATCTTTACTGAATCTTAATGCGAATCATTCCCTTACAGTTTGGCTACTCATAGCTGTGAACATGGTTCACAAAATGTATTTTGACAAAGGCATTTCCCTATTGTACTTTACTATTCCTATAGGAGTAACTTCTGCCACCGTTTATGTAACTGCCTTTCTGACAGAGCTCTGGAAATTGTAAAGCAATATAATACTATACTATACAAGTATGAAGAAGTTACAGTAAAAAAAACTGCTACATTGCTGTTGTATTTTGCAGAAAACTTTTCTCTTGTCATATAATAATGAATTGATTCGTTTTTGTATTCTATGTCACAATAAGCATTGGGTCTTTTTTCCACTGATGTCTCTCAGTTGGAACTGCTAGGTAAAGTGTGTGGGTGTTTTTCAAGCACAGTCTTGACATTGAGAGAGACAAGAAGTAGAAATTTGTCATTATCCTATAAATACCTGGGCACTGATTGTGTTTTCCCCACTTTTGCAGACTAGCAGCTACTGAAGGGAACACAGCACAGGTACTAAAAAATGCAATTTTTTCCCTCTTCCAAAATTTCTTCTCTTAAAGTAAACAAAACCTGGTACAAGACTCACATGAAAGCCAATGACTCTGTTCTTTGTCTCGACAGGATCCTATATATTCATTCACCTAGAGACACTCACATTACTAGAAAGAGAGCATGTAAGTGCTCCGATTCTGGCTCACCACACACTGAATAAAGTCTCAGACTTTAACACTCTCATTGAGCGGGGATGTGGACAGCTTGCCGGAGCTCAGAGGACGCTGCCTCATGGAGTCATGGGTGACACAGTGACGCAGGGAAGCACAGTGGAGGTCTGCATATGGCATCCATCATCACCTTTCACTTTGCAAAAAAAAAAAAAAAGAACAAAAAAAAGATGGGCATCAAAGCGGACAAAAAGCACCCAACCTGGGACTGGCAGCTGTGGGTGGCAGCAGCAGGCATTGTGACAGCCATCTTGGCTTCTCAGTCACGGCACTGGAACGCTCTCTTTCTCTCTCGGGAGGAGATGGGGGGACCCAGCCAGGTCACTAACTAACTGTCTGGGACTCACACACATTCCCAATAGCCCTCTGCAATAATAATCACCGCTCAGTTATTTCTCCAAGATAGTATCAATGATTCATGGTGTGGCAGAGTTAGAGAGACAGAGAGAAATCTGAGTTTCACAGAAAGCAGCAAACACATTCCTGTTAATTTGTCACAGGACATCTCAGCGTTATTGAAAATAGGATTGATTTCAATAAGGACTGAACAGTCTGAAAATGACACTGATTTTAATGATGGGTCAAAATGCTAATAACAATGAGTTCTTGTCAAGAGTGTTTTAATACATAACCCCAGATGTCCAGGTTGTACCTGGTGCCGTCACTTCACTTGTGTCCCAGACTGATTATATAACATCGGCATATGACTCATGATACTTAGTGGAGCGCTCTATCTCTCTTTCTCTCTCACTGTCTGCCTCTCTCACTCATGATATCTCTGCAGCATGCTGTTTTTTCCCCCCGCAGAGCTCTGATTTTAGGGCTTCTGGGTAATTCACACAACTCTCATAAGCTTTCTCAAAAGCAGAATTGTCACACAGTTTGTTCATACCTCACAACATAAGTCTGATCTGTGTAACGGCAAATGTATCATTAAATTATATTCAGTTGCAAAAAAAGTGAAACACTAAAAGCAACATAAGTGGTGATTTTGTTTTATCTTGCCTTGTTTTTCTTACAGTTTATTGACGTTGCTTTGTAACAACTGCACTGATTTTATTACAATCTGTTTTATACATTATGTATCGAACTTTATTGTGAATGTTTTTCTTCTGTATGAAATCCTTGAAGGATAAAGCTGGTGCTATTATGTATATTTCTTCTTGTCAACAAATCCCACGGAAATACTAAAACCAACAGCGTTTTAGTGTGATAACAAATTCCTATTATATTCCACAGCTCATGGTTTTTGAGTTGTCATGGAGAAAGTATGAAATTTTGGCCATATAATAACATGTCATATACATATACATATACATATACATACTTAAATAGGTGTGAATAATGCGTTTGCATTTCACTTTTTTCAGTGATGGATTAACACATCTGTTGCTCTAGTGAGTATTTACAGCTGCAGGAGAGTTTATGTGCAATTTTAAAAAATCTACAGTGTCCATGTTTATCATAATGAATGAACATATTACCCAGTGTGTTGATTGATGTGTTTTTAAGTTTTTAAAAAACAATGGAGGTAGGTGGAGGATTACATAATAATAACAATCATAATCATAATCATAAACTTTATTTATCAGGCTATATCAGGCTTTGGCTTATATTATGGCTATATGTTTGTTCGAAGGATTTTTTTTGGCTATTTCATTGGATTTGTTCACAATAAGAAAAATATGGAATACCACCAGTCTCATCTCTTAGCAAAAAATCTCAAACACCAGTGTGTCCCCAGAAGAAAACAACACACATCACAGGTGGGTGGTCATTAGGGGCCAATGTCATTTGTCAGCCAGGCTCTTGACAGTTCTTTCTTCTAATGAATGTACAGCCTCCACTCACCAGGACCCTAGAGGAGAGTGGAAATAGGCCAATTTTAAACACTTGAGATTCAAGAGATGTTCTTTCCCAGCTACACAAAATGCTTTATACGCCTGTGTGTGTAGCCATGACTGACCAGTCACATAAAAATGGGGACTTATTTCACCACGCCTGAACACAGGCTTACTGTTTACTCTTTGTGTCTGTTTTCTTCAGAGTGACGCCCACTAGCTGTGTCGCTGGTTAGCGGTCACGTTGATACCAAGGGATTATATGTAGTGTCTTTTAATTGCAAGCCATTGTCAGCTCACATTGTCACTGCGTTTACACTGTTCACCTGTGGTAGAGGCACTGCTGATACAAAGAGCTGCTTTATGTACAGTGTAGTTTACAGCATATTATAAAAAGAGCTGCATTGTGCCTACAGCACCATAGCACAGACCCACCTGAGACATTATATTTTTGTCTCTTTTCCTTGATGTCTACATTTCCTCCCTGCTGCTGCCTCAGCTTCCCTGCGTGAGTTCCTACCGGAGGCCTTTGGCTTTGACAGTGTGTTGTGCCGCCTGTCTCTCCCTCTTTTATCAGCCCCTCTTTGCCCTTTATGGTTGTTCCTCCTGTATATGATGAATGTCATTGCCTTTGCCCTATTCAATTAGTTTAACAGGGACAAGAGGGCAGAATGTGGAGGAATAACGTAGTCTGAAGTGAAGCCCTCTACATTAAAAGGCCGCTGTGGCACATCGTGAGGTAGCTGTAAAAAGCTGTGCAACACAGCATGTTGTTTGAACATAGTAGGGGTGGGTGTGCTTCGAGAAGTAACATACATTTAAAAGTGTTTTGATCACTTGATGTCAAGGCATCTGTGAATTGGTCAGTGTCTCTTTATGCTGTTGGCCGCTGTATGATGTTATGATTAAAGAGGCAATGACTGAGGTGATTGGGTTGTTCGGTGATGTTTCAATGAAAATCATAATTTATCGGCTATTATCCCTCTCTCTCTTTCTCTCTCTCTCTCTCTCTCTCCTTTTCTCTCCCTTTGTGTGTGTGTGTCTGTCCTTCATTCACACACTCTTCATATTTCACACGCAAATTACCTGCCCATCCCAAGTGCCCATGCACTCCTTCCCAAACGCACACTCAAATCACTTAATTCATCAATGATGCTGACATGAACGCACTGCCTCTGTGAAACTCATCCATGATCATCTGATTCAATTATTTATGATTAAAGACTTTTATATTGTCCCTGCACTGCTATGGTTAGGCTATTGATTGTGGTCCTTGTTGAAATGTATCTGCCTTTTGTAATCAATAAGACTGAGACTTGAAGGATTACATGTGTACTTAGCGAGTGTAATAGACAGACTGCCTGGCAAAATCAACTGAGGATTGCTGAGGAGAACATTTGTCATTATTGAACCGAGGGCCTGCAACATGCAGTCAATTACCCTCTCTGTAATTGACTACGTTGGGAGTGCATGAAGGAGAGGGAAGGAGGAGCAGGAAGTTGGGTCAAGATTTTAACTCTGTTCTGACTCTCATTGCATAACAGCAGTTTGAGCCCCTGTGGTGATCCTACATCATATTATGCAGCAGGTGCAATAACTGAGGACTGAAAATATAAGCTTGTGTCAAACGGAGGAAGATAAAACAGAGCTTCCCTAATAAGTCACCATGGGACAGAGAGCTGTAGAGTATGGACCACAACCAGCCTGTGCACATTTAGTGTCACAACAGAAACTGTATGGTAATCCTACATCACTCTGTATTGTTATCTAATTTGAGACACATTACCAGTTAAAAGATTGTTATATTATGTTATTGTGATAGATTATAAGAAAATTGGTATTTATTGGTATGTTGATTGCTTTGGTTTTATGTGCTCAAATTTCTTTTGTCATTCTTTTGTAATTTTTTTGCTTCCACCTGCAGCCCAGCATCCCGAGGAATTACACCCATAATGGACAAATCTGTACCTCACAATTTTTTGTTTCAGGTTGTTCAGTGCCAGTTCAAGAAGTGGAGTTCCCAATATCTAGCAACGTGGACAGCAAGGTTGGAGGTCAGGATGGTCAACGTTTGCCTTCTTATTAACTGAAAACACAATTTTTCCCTAACCAAGTGTTTTACTTGCCACAAGTTTAGTTGCAATACTTCAAACATAATTTAATTGTCATAAACTTTCCCTTAACCATACTGCAGTTGCCGTGCACTTTGTGTGGTATTTGCAACTGGCAACAAAAATTTTCTCATTGCACATAATAAAGGCTTTTGCATAATTATCCAAATTGATGCACATTTTGTGGTGCTAGGGATGCCATCCCAATACAATGGAGTACAGTTACTCTGGATAATTCACAGAAAACTACTACTTTTATTGAAGAAATCGTCCCTTTAAAAACAATTGACTGTGTTTTCGGAGTATCCAGAGTTACAGGGTTGCTGCTTCTGGAAAGTTATGTTGCTGCTGAATTTTATGAAATTCTCTTCCTATTTTATAAGGGGGTTCAGGAGGGCCAGGCCAGTTCAGCTAGCCATGTTTGTCCTATTCACAGATTGTAAAAAAAACCCACATCTTTTCACATAGACCTTAATATAGCGGCAGCCTATATAACAATTTTTGGCATTTTTAAGAAAAACAGAGATATACAATAAGGATTCCCAACTGGCCTTGAACTGGAGACATTTTGATTCATGGTCCCCATCTTCACCCATAAGCTATGGAAGAGCCCAGGTGATTAGTTTTGTACCCTTTAGTGTAATATCTGAAGTTAACAACTGGTCTGCATTTTGTAATTGATCTATTTTGTTACGTGTGCTAAACACTTTAAACATACTTTTGTACTTGTACTTTTAATAGAGAATATTACATTATTTGTATAGTAATCATCACCCCCTACGAAAACTATTATTTTTCCTTTATTTAAATTGTTTTGGGACCAACATTGCAGAAAGCTGATATATTTCAAAATCTGGACACATTAAACTAAAGGTGGAGGTGCGTGAGTAAATATATTTTTTTCTATATTGGCTGATTTAGCTCTTTAGATCTTATATAGAGACAGAACATTCCTTACAATGAAACAAATGAAAAAAAAGATAACTTTCCATTTTGTTTATACTGTATAACCACATGCCTTGTGATATCATCAACTATTGCAAAGAGTATTGAGTGTGACATCCCACTCAACAGCACGTTCAGTGCAAACTAAGCCATTGACTTGCTATTTGTGGTCTAAAAAACAAACTGAAGTTTCCACAACATGGCACTCCATTGTATAGAGAGGTGAATGTGAGGGAGATAAAAAATCTGTGTGTGTGTGTGTGTGTGTGTGTGTGTGT